AGCCCAATATTTAGGCAATCATTTGGTAATTTAGTATATTTTTGGCTGAAAAAGCAGGGTACAATGCAAAAATTCATTATACAGAGAAATTTGCTACATAAAAGTTTGTAATATGGAAGTTTGACTGTATCTTTAGTTGTCTTATAATTATTCATTGTTATATTTTATTTATCATAATTATATATATATAAAATTATGTATGGCCTCGACCGAGTAATATTTAATTTCGAACGTTATCGAATTGAAACCTGATGCAGACTTATGAAATATGCCAAAAATGTTTGTGTTTTTAATAAATGTATTTGTTGGAAATGCAAGGATGCTGTTGAGATTTTCAGCTTTTTCATTGATTGTTTAAAGCAATAGCACAGTTACTTTAATAAAACTGATAACAAAATTCTTATTCTAACTATTTGAAATTGTTTCTAAGCAATAAACAATTATAAATAATAAACAAAAAAGTTAATGTCTTTTGAATTTTATAGATTTTTATTGTTACAGTCCATACATATGCATAAATATTGTTTTATATGTAGTAATTAAGCAGAAAATATTCTGAAGAGCTAAATATATTCAAGATTATGTTAAATAAGGTGAATGTATTAATGAATAAACACTTACTATATTTTATAGTATATAACACCATTCAATAAAAGCCAAATGATTGCTGATTAAATTGGGCTATGTTACTGCTGCTACTAATAATTAAGTACTTCATAATTTTGTCTAGAGATTGATATGATAACAGGTAATAAGTTAATACCTATCTTAAGGCCAAATTACATAGTATTTAATTATTAATAGTAGCAGTAATATAGCCCAACTTAATCTGATAATCATTTGGTTTCATGTAACTATTGGCTTTTTGAGATGTTTATATTCAATAAAGGCTCAAAACTTGCCCTGTCTTATGTATGAAGTTTCAATCCCCATAGGTTAATGACTTTCTCAAATCTTGATTCCACCAAATAATAATAGTTTCCTAATGATATTTTAAAGCATTTTTCTACTTTATTCAATGAACTTCACAGCTATCCATAGATTTATGCATGCACATTGTTGGTGGCTGCATAAAACTTCAAACACTCACAGCTTCTGATAAGTGCATCTTTTGAAAAATTGTTTCACATAAAAGTTTGTTTGTTTGTTTTTGATATAGAATCATATGTACTAAAAAAATAGGGGTTTTCATTAAAGAAAATGAAGTCGACTCTATTTTCATCAACAATACTGCCACCTATGGAGAAAGCAATAGCACCATTTTGTGGACCCTTTGATAGAGTACAAATATTGTCATTTTTTTGTAGGATGCAAATTTTTATAGATTTTTGTCTATATTGATTAATTAAAGTGGGATGCATCTGTATATATGATGTAACAATTTAATTCCCAGCTTTGTAGTGTAGCCTGTGTGGCAACATATGCAGAATCATATGCCTGTATGTCTGGGCAGGTTTCAACTAGTGTATTCATAAGCTACAAGCCAGTTGTCATTTAGTGGATAGAGTGGGTAGTAGTGAAGGCAATATAAGTTTGTGCAGGAGTTTTAGCATCAAAAAAAATGAATAATAGAAACTTGAAGCAATGCACTAACATCAAATCCTATATGAACATTGGCAAAAGTGCTGCTGAAACATTACAGCTGTTGCATGTGGCAAGGATATGCTATGAGACAGTCAAGTGACTTTGAGTGGTATAAGAGGTTCAAGGAGGAACGAGAAAATATAAATGATGGTGCTAGAAGTAAACTGATGAAAACAAAGGACAGACCCAAATGTGAACAGTACATAGGCTTTTTGGTCAGACAGATAATTAATTGTTCAATTAATGGCACAGGAATTACAGATGAACATGGAAATAGTAAGAAAAGTTTTAATAGAGGGTTTGGGTATATGCAAAGAATTACAAAGTTTATACCTTGAATCTTGAAAGATAAATAGAAATAGCAAGATCTTGAAGTTGTGACTGATCTTTCTGCAAATGAACACACATTTTGTCAACCATAATAATCCTATTAAATGTGTTTGCAGTATGATCCAGAAATAAAATGACAAAGTATATAGTGAAAAACAGAGTTGTCCTTGACCAAAATTAAGTACACATATCATGCTTGCAATTCAAGATAATCTTTGTAGTTTCTGTGATCACCAGAGGATAATTTATCACTAATTTGTTGAACAGGGACAAATACCAGGGTTACGAAAACTAATTCCTTCTTAGAATATAAAATGGATGGTGGAAATAACATGCATTTGATCTAGTTAACTAATAACTCATTTGTGGCATAGTGCAACAGTGGGCCAGATCTGGCCCACGGGCCGTGGTGACCCCTGATGTAGGCTATTAAAATATGTTAATGTACCATATTTTTGTGCGTTTAACCCATGATGTCTTATACCTTGTAGAAAATTGCTAAAACCAAAATAAAACTTTTTCATTACTTGCCGCCTCATATATCCTGCACCTGTGGGAATAGTCATTGCTCCATAGGTGCAAGTTTGTGATTGCACTTCAAAATCAGCATAAAATCTGCCCCATTGCATAACCTGTGTTTCTTTTCAAATTTCCTTTTGTAAACACAATAACCTATGGGTTGCATGCATAAAAGTATAGTATTGTTAAATGGAATTTTTATTTATAAGTGAAAATTTTTTAAAAGAACTAAAAAATATATATGTATTGTGTCATGTATTGTCTGTATCTGATGTAATGTGTATGTAAGTTACTACTTAAGTGTTCTTCTAATACTTAAACAATGAGCTTTAGAATTCAATGAATTATCTAAATATTTTATCATTATATTAAAAGTATGAAGGTTTATAGTTGTTCTTGTATAAAAGCTTATATATATTTTTTTAATATAAGAAATTTTAATTTTTATAATACATTACAATCTGTAGTTACTTGGTTACATTTAGTACATAATTTTTCTTATGTTGAATGTAATGCATCATACATATATTGAAATATAGTAGAATCTGCTTATTGTAATCACTTTAAGACCTGTATAGATTGATGATGATAACTCACTGATAACATTAAATGAAGTAAGTTAATAAGAGTAGAATTAATAGAAATTCTGATTTTATTGACTCTGACATTAAGAATTTAGCTTCAAGTTACATAGTTTTTACATTTTTTAATTATTTTAATATATACACCTAATTAATGTTTATTAATTACACCTAACCTTCATTTACGTGATATTTGAATTGCACAATTTCAGTTTAACACAATTAGAAAAGTGTGATTTACATTCTATTTAAAACATTTTTTTAGTATTTTATTCTAAAATTAATATTACCAATGAAAATACTTATAGTAATTTAAGTCTATGCTAACAGTTATATTGTCACATTGTTGTAATTTTTGACTAAAAATTAAAAAAAATGTTATGTCACAACTTGGTACAGTATATTATGCAATAAACTTAGCTTAGTATCAGAAAATTTATTAAAAAATTTAAATAGAAATAAAAACATAAGCTTTGATAATCAATTTTATTGAGATTGAGGAAGTTACCGGTAATAATAGAACTGAAGGTAGTTTTCAATATAAAAAAGAATATAATTTTAATTTTTATTTTCTTTTATATTGGCAAATAAAAACTGTGAATAATAAGCTGAAACAATCCTATTAATTTCATTTTGCAGTTTTCTTTTAGTTTATGCAGTTAGATTCTGATCTTGGTTTTATTGTTTTCATCATTTTTCTATTGAGTGTTTTTTTGAAGCTATAATAAATTATCATAAATAATTTGAAACCAGAAGAAGATCAGTGAAAAAATTAGTCAAATTAGTTAAAAAAATCAATTGATATCCAAAAAATATAAAAAATATTCCACCAAGTAAAAATTTTGGCACCCAAAATGAAAGTCAAATTTTTTCTTGGAAGTTTCTCTTTGGTAAATATAAGCTTGGTGCTTTGAAGCGATATCATAAGTGTTTACTGTTTACTTTCCAGTTGTGATCCTATGACTAACTACGAGTGTTCAGTAGTTTTATCCACTTAGACACTGGTGGGCCTTAAGTTAATAAAAACTGTTTTCTGAAAGCATAGAGCATGTTGCATGAAATACATATAACATTTTGCTATGAAATGGCTTTTATGGGTTAATATTTTGATATCTAAATTTTTCTAAGTGTTCCATTTTATAAGAAATTTCTTTAGATGCTAATTAATTAAAAAGTATTTTTGTTACTTCACATTTTATCAATAGTAAACTTCGATATTTGAGTCATTGAAATCAAAATAATTCTACTGACTCTGCCCAAAAACATATTAGACTGTGGTGACTCTGACTCCACAACACTGGTTGGGTGTATAATTATAATTGATTATTATTGATTGATAATAATTCATCCACTGTTATAATTGAAGTAAGAAATGTCAGCAGTTGAATTTACTCTATACTGTGAACAAATAATAATTAAAATGATTAATGTTTGAAGCAGTGATTAATCTGTTAATGTTAAACAACTGATATTAATATCTGTACAAACACAATAAGTTGATTCTACTATAATCGTTGATTCTTATTGGATCTAAAAGTCTCTATAATTTACTATTACTGTTTGTTTTTGGTACAGTTGAGGACATTTTTACATTTTTTTCCTAGAATTTTAATGTATATATACAGTAATTTTGTTAAACAAAAATGTTTTAAATACATAGCAAATATTATATTTATATACAGTATATTGAATGAAATGTCCTCTGTCACTCTAATTAGTTTTATACTCAGTTTTTCATATAAATTTCTTCCTGGTTGTATTTTTTAGATGTATCGAGTTTGAAAACTGTTAAATGGTGTTTTGGAATAAAAATATCAAAATAGATGAATATATTATCATCACTTTATATGTAAAAAATAAAAAAAATGATCATAATCTATTCACCTGTTTTGAAGTTGCAAATTAGTTTTCAGTTCACTAAATGAAAATAACTTTCGTCTGTATTACTTTCATAACATCATTTTAAATTATACTCTTTCACCACAGATATTACTTGAACAGAGATCAAGCACTACAGCTTTTCTACAATAACAAGATATCAGGTAATGATTTTTCACATATAGTATGAAACAAAAAGTGTTTTTACTTAATATTATTTTTTAAGTTTTTATTTAAAAAGATAAGTTAATAGAATAAATAGACTCCATAAGCAAGTGGTTTTCATCCAAAAATTTTTAAAGTTAAATTTTTTTAATTTGGTAGTCTCATTATTTGTTTCTGTTTAATACAGTGATGTTACTTTATTATTATTACGATAATAACAATGAAATAACTTCACTATCATAATACAATAATGATGATGATGATAATTGTTGACTGTAATAAAGAATTCACAGAAATAATAAGCATTTCAAATGAAGCTATGATATTTGATTCTAATAATAAAAAACAAAAATGAACAAAAATTTTTATTACTTAATTTATTTAGATTGCAATAGTTGTAAACTGTTATTTTTTAGTCATATAGAAATGTTCTGTTATTTATTCCATAGACATTTTATAGTGTATGTGTGCAAACAGACTGCTATTCTTTTTTTCTGAAAACTGATGATACTATCTACATATAGTTTATTTTTCCTGACACTGCATAATTCAAACATTTTTCTTTTTTCTGTTTTTAACATGCACCAGTTATCATATTTATTATTATTTTTCTAAGGTTTTTTTTGCTTTACTTTTACTGTAAAACTTTTATTAAAAATATTATATGGCTTTACAATATTAGTTAACTCCTACAGGAATTGCACTTGCACAACTAAACAACTCTTCAACCATCAAATGCAATAAAAATTTTCTTTATTCAAACATTTTCAATCATCAGGTTTGACCCTTTGAGTTTTTTGCAAATTTCCATGTTTTGAGACCTCCTAAACCCAAAATGTCAAAAAAAGGAAAAAAAATTTTTGTGTGTTTGTGTTGATTTCATTTAATATCTCAGGATAGGGTAAAGATTAAGAAATGAAATTTGGTGTGGTAACTTGTATATAAGAAGCATTAATGCTATTAAATTATGGTGGGTAAAGATTGAGGGGATGGGGAGATAGAGATGGATCATATATCATATTTCAAGAGAAATCAGACTTAATGATGATTTTACTCATTAGCATTTATAATTGTTTTTACAAAACTCATCTTTATCCTCAAAATTAAGTTTTTTTGGCAATGTATAATAATTAATAATATAAAAACTTTTTATAACAAAATTTCATAAGATATGGCACCATACACAATTTATTTATTAATAGTATGATTACTAATATAAAAGTTATATTTTTAATAAAATCTCATAACATCCAGGAAAGTTATGCAACTTGTTGCTGAATTTTTTAATATGATTATTGAAATTGGCCTTCTGAATATTTAGAGAAAATAATTCTATTAATGTATAGAGTATTTAGAGTTGATATCTATGTTATTTGTGTAAGGGGACTAATTTTGAGAAAAGAAGAGTCACCTATAAAGATTTTTGTTTTTCAATAGGAGAAAATTACTAATTCAACAACAAATTTTTTAATCTAATTCAAATCATTTGTTCAGGAAAATTATATGAATGGAAGGAATTATTGAATCAAAAGCCTGAGGGAAGTCCAAGTAAACTATAAACAGTGGAGGTTATAATTAAGTGGTCAAAACCAAAGAATTAATGCTTTAGTAATGAAATCAAGTTAAAATGGGCAGTGTCTGATAGAAACTGATTTGCATATTAATGCATTAAATGAAGTGTGTAATTAAATTAGAGAGAGACAGACAGATGAGATTTTTTAGAAATTGGAAAATTTTAAAAGCCATAAATAAGTAATCAGTTTCATCAAAGCAGCAAAAGCTAGTAGGTACACATGGATATAGTATAAAATGATATAACATGTAATTAATCTGTAAGATTTTTATCTTCAATTATTTAAAATGGCAAAAACACAAGAATATTTAAAAAAAATAGATTCAAGTTGTGGAGGAGCATGCAACAAGAAAGTCACTATTAGGAAGCACCTATGTATTGGTTGCCTTGGTGGCCTTTCGATAGAACACGCTGACTACATTGCACTTTGGCTATGACATAACTTAAATATTTGGAAAGGCTTGAAATTTACAAGGCTAATAAGAAAGGGACCTCGATTAATTTGAAAGATTCTGCAGTGGTGTCATGTGATTGGCAAGCATTATTTGAAGTTTTATAGTCTTGTTTATCACCATTTTGCTATATTTATGTTTTTACTCATAATATTTGTATATATTGCTGTATTTATATATTTTATTTTATATGTAATATTCTTGTTAATTATTTATTTTTATTTTCTGTATTTTATTTAATACAGTATATATAAATTTGTAATTTTTGAATGTTTTTAATTTCAAATTGACTTCCTGTTCTATTTATTATATTCCATTCTATAACTTGAAGGTGGCCATTGTACATGGTTAAAACATTTATTCCATTATTTAATAAATGTTCTATTTTTACTGGATTTAAGGTTTTTTCAATATCAATCTTAGTAAATACATCCAGTTTTTGGAGTTTTTTTCAAACTGTATATAAAAGCACATCTTTTCACACATTTCCAGTACTTCTTTATAGTTCTAACAAACATTTTCAGCTTGATTTACGGGCCTTCTTCAGGTTAAAAGCAATTCCAATTAGAAGGAATTATGCCATATTCCAAAATAGGACAATTCAAAGATTCCTTTAGGTTATTTAAATTTCTTATGTAACTTGAGATTTATAAATTTAAATAAAATTATTTATTGAAAATATAAAAGAACCTATAATAAATATTTAGCACATGGAGGCAATTATTGAAAAGTTATTGATTTAAGTACATTTAGATAAAAACACGTGCCTAGCTTGCGATATGCTGAGGCTTTCTCTGTTGTTAATACAAGCCCTTGGATTGCTGCTTTATAGATGTCGATGGTTTCACTTATTCTTAATTTTTACATATCAAATATTTTTATTAATTTTGCATCTACCCAACAAGGGGTGTTCTCATGTTGAGACGATTTAGTTTGAGACTTTTTTTAGTGAACAAATTTTTGTTTGCTTTTAATATAAAATTTATATTAGTAGATGTGAGAAATGGATAATACTATTTAAAAGAATGGATTTGGATGTGATTTTGAAAGAAGCTGTGAAATTAAATTCATCATATAGTCTCTATAGTGATTATTATTATATCTCATGCTTTATTAGCTGGATTTTATCTTAGTATGAATAGTTACCAAATTCTATAATTATTTTCATAGATAAAGTGGTTAATAACATCAACAAACCTTTATAATTACCAGCAAATAAAGTTTTTAATATACTTTGACAAGCAATAAAGTGATAATTATTTTTTGAATATGAAAATTTTCAGTTTTGTTTTGCTGCACTTGAATTTCAAAGTGCAAGTGTTATTTATAAATAACTAAATATTTCAAATTTNAGGCTAGTTAAATATAATGAAAAAATATTTTAAATAATATAACTTGTAATAATTACTGTAATAAATTGTATGTTTATATTGATATAATTGTTTATATAACTGTATGTTTACCAATTGTAGAAATGTAACACCTGATGAGGGGTGCAAGTAACATCAAAAATCTTACACCTAAAATGCATAGCATAATAAAGAACTAACATATATAACCCTTAGTAGTTGCCTCTGTTGAAATGCGGTTACAGATTTAAAAAAAAGACGGTATAATTCTGCATCAATCATTAAGATTTTCAAATTCTTTAAGAAGAGTTTTTGAAGAATTAATTTTAAAGCAATATAGAAACAACAGTACCGTAAGAAATATATTTCTGCTACTTATAAAAAATATCAGTTATTTGAAAAAATTTTTGTTTTTTAAACCCCCCTCATAAAAAACACCTATACTCAAAATTATTCAGTCTCTTAAGATTTCTATCCTTTATTTTATATAAACATGTATAGTACAACATTGTACATTATGCCATAATAAAGCTGATAGAAACTGTATATATAATAAGCCAAAAAGCGACAAAGTATGTGTGATCATTAGGACTTCATGATATGTTAAAAAACTTGTCCATCTTGGTTTGCTTTGATGTCACAACACTTCTGAGCTTCTTTTGGTGACATTGTCGGTATGAAATGTTACTGTTATGCAAGCATGATTTTAAGGTGCAATATTGCCAAACCCATGTCTAACATGTTGAGATACACCTTTGTTGTGCACACATGCAAATCTGGAAGTGTTATCTGGAAGGACCTGGAGAAAAACATCTGTTGTTCCACGATCTGTTAAAATGAGATTCTGCTTTAATTGGGTTTTATTTGTAAATGGGCTTTGCCTCAGTATGTCAACTAACACCCATATGTTAGGACAATTGGTGTATATTGGTTCTACAAATAGATCTTTAACAAGCAAACTGGCATAGCATAAACTTAATATTGATAACAATAATCCAGTAACTACTTTAGCACGATATTCAAAATTCGCAATATTCCCAGGCTCTAGCCTGGCGTATCTGCAACAAAATAATGAGGCTAAATTATTATGATACACATACTGTACAATGAACACAAACTATGAATGCTAACACTAGAAATATTTAAGGCCACATAGCAACCTTTATATTATAATCCATATGAAAAGGTATGATAATCATCACAATACAGGCAAATCAGCCACAACATAAAAATATATACAGTCAAACTTATAACTTATAAACACAAAGTTCTACAAGTTATAGCATGTTTTCCTGTAGGTCTTGCATCATTTGCTAATTTCAAAATTGATTTGTGATTTGTTATTATGGTTGATAAACTACTTACAGGAATTCCAAACTTTGCTGCAATGTCTTTCGTTTTTTAGCCTTTATCAACTTCCTGCAACATCTTTACAACCCTTACCCTTTACCCTTCTTTACAATCAGTAGTCACATGGGGGGGCAGATTACATGGTGGTTTTAAAAGCTAATGACCAGTATTTCTCACACTTGTGCCATAGTTTTACAAAGAGTTCACAAATTGATACCTGAAATTGGATCTAAATTCAAATTCGACCCATAGGGCATAGTCTACTTTTAGTGGTT